AGTCATGAAGCACACGGAGACGAACACCTACAACATCCAGCGCCTGCTGCATGTGAAGGGCAAGAAGAATGTGGTGGCAGGAGAGGTGAGTTATGGGATGTGGGGGGTCGCCAGCCACCAACCTCTATGCAGAGACGCTGTTTAGGGTCAGGATCAGGCCAGAGCCCCCCCCAGACACAGCTGCCCTCAAGTAGGGGACAGAGTGGGTGTGGGGCCACGCCACCTTGCTTCAGGAGCCACCTCACCCCAAAAAGCCCCTTTTGGAGTAGGGAGGAGGAATACTGGCTGGAGGCATCAGCCCTGAGCCAGGGCAGGGGCGGGGTGTGGAGCCAGGGGGACCCGAGCGTCCTGCTCATTGACCCCCCCACCCAATCCTGTCCCACTGCAGGTGGAGATGAACTGGAAAAGCTTCAACCGAGGGGACGTGTTCCTGCTGGACCTGGGCCAGCTCATTATCCAGTGGAACGGCCCTGAGAGCAACCGAAACGAGAGGCTGAAGGTACAGCTTGGGGATCCCAGGCCCTCCCCCCCAGGGGAAAGCGGTGACCGGGCCAGCCCCTCCCCAGTCTGAGCTGACCCCTTCTCTCCTGGTTGCAGGCGATGACCCTGGCCAAGGACATTTGGGACCGGGGCCGTGCCAAGGTGGGCGTAGTGGACGGTGAGGACGAGGGCGCCTCGCCGGGGCTCATGCAGGTCCTCACGCATGTGCTGGGTGCGAAGAGTGACATCAAGGCGGCCACCCCTGATGACAAAGTGGACCAGAAGCTCAATTCCTCCCTCAAGCTCTACCAGTGAGTTGCTGGAGGTGCATCACCTGCGGTGGCATCTCGCAGGGTGCCAGAGGGGCCCAGCACCCACCTCTGCTATGTCCCACAACTCCGGTCCCCATGGACAGCTACCAAGAGGGGTCAAGGCCACTGCAGGGGTGGGGACAGTTCCTCTGGATGCTGTTGGAGCAAGGGGAGTCCCTGGTGCCAACAGGGTTGGTACCCGATGGAGAGATGCTTGTGCAAGTGTGACCTTTGAATACAGTGGCAATGTCCCTGGGTAGCCCCATCACACCCACATCTGACACCCCTTTGTCCCTCCTCATGGCTGTGACTGAGCTGCATGGCAGGGCAAGCTGCAAACCAGGTTGTCACCATGGCAGGGCAAGAGGGTCCCTGGGTACCACCTCTGCCATGATCAGTGTGGGGAAGGGAATGGGGAGGGTATGCCCCCACCCAACCCTGACACCCCAAGGTGGGGATGGGGAGGGGGTTTTCCAGCCCTGTTTCTAACCCCTCCTCCTCTCTTTTCCCCTGCCAGCCTCTCCAATGCCAGCGGGAACCTGGTCATTCAGGAGGTGGCAGTTCGACCCCTGACTCAAGACATGCTCCTGCATGAGGTGTGTCACCCATGGGATGCTTGGAGGTGCCCAATTTCCTTGGCACCTTTAACCCTTCAAAAGCCCACCAAATCTGCTTCACCCACCAAATCTGCTTTTGAAGTGTTAAAGCTGCCCAAAGTCCTAATTTCTGCTGTTGTCCCCCCCTCCAAGGACTGCTACATCCTTGATCAAGGAGGTTTCAAGATCTTCGTGTGGAAGGGCAAGAACGCCAACAAGGAGGAGAAGCAAGAGGCGATGAGCAGGGCGCTGGTGGGTGCTGGGTTGAGGGTCAGTTATGGGATAGCCTCTCTGCTCTCTGGAGTGCCGGGCATCCCATGCCCACACTCTGGGTCCGAATCCCCCCAGGGCTTCATCAAAGCCAAGAACTACCCGGCCAGCACCAGCGTGGAGACGGAGAATGATGGGTCCGAATCAACCATCTTCAGGCAGCTCTTCCAAAAATGGACTGTCCCCAACCAGACCAGCGGGTTGGGCAAGACCCACACTGTGGGCAAAGTAGGTGAGTGTCCCCTTCCGACGCTGCGGGATTCCTTGGATTGGGATGGGGGGGGGCTGTGGGAACCCCAAATGCCAGTGGGATGTGGCTCAGCCCTCTGCCCTTCCCTGCAGCCAAGGTGGAGCAGGTGAAGTTTGACGCCACCACACTGCACGCCAAGCCCCAGATGGCCGCCCAGCAGAAGATGGTGGATGACGGATCTGGGGAGGTGGAGGTAGGGTGGCTGGGGCAGAATGTGGGACCCTCTCGGGGCCTTACTGGGTGCCGTGGGGTCCAGGGGCTGCAGGGCAGGTAGCCCTGACAGCAGCACGTCCCTGTCCCCATCCCACCAGGTCTGGCGCGTGGAGAACCAGGAGCTGGTGCCTGTGGAGAAGAAGTGGCTGGGCCATTTCTACGGCGGGGACTGCTACCTGGTGCTCTACACCTATTTCGTGGGGCCCAAGGTGAACCGCATCATCTACCTCTGGCAGGTGAGACCCCCAGGTCACTGACCCATGGGTGGGGGACAGGGGCACCTCCCTGGACCGGGAGTGCTCTGCCCCTATGCATGACCCCATGGGAACGGCATGAGGGTTCCCTCTTCCCAAGAGGGAAAAGGGGGCTGCGGTGGGCGCTGAGCCCCCCCCTCTGCCCTGCCCAGGGCCGCCAAGCCAGCACAAATGAGCTGGCCGCCTCTGCCTACCAAACCGTCATCCTGGACCAGAAGTACAACAACGAGCCTGTGCAGGTCCGCGTCACCATGGGCAAAGAGCCAGCCCACCTGATGGCCATCTTCAAGGGCAAGATGGTG